TTTTTTTTTTTTTTTTTTTTTTTTTTTTTTTTTTTTTTTTGGAAAAGCTGTTGAGCAGCCAAGTTCAGACTGGGAGAGGATGAGGATGCAAAAAAAAAGAAAAATAAAGGAAAAAAAGAGAGGTGGGGGTTTCTCTGGACAGGGATCACAGTGCCAGAGTGCTTTGCAGCCACAGCTGCGGCTGAGCTCCCGGGTCCAGAGCAGAGGCACCAATGCAGGCACTCAGGGTGCTGATCTCTGCCCGCTCCTTCCCAGATGGACCGGGGTGAGTTCCAGCAGGACTCCGTGCTGAAGCAGCTCGAGGTGCTCAAGGAGGAGGAGAAGGAGTTCCAAAACCTAAAGGTGAGCCCTGCAACACAGCCACCCCCCACATCAACTCCAGGCTGCCTGCCCTGGTGCTGCCTCCCGTGCCACCCCGTCCCCACACTGGGTGGGATGCTGGGGTGCCACCAGCACTGCCTTTGGGGAACCCACGGCGCTGGGGAGCAGGTTGGGTAGCGCGGGGTGCCCCAGTGAGACGGAAGGGATTTGGGGCGACCCCACCAATATCCCCCACCCGCCCACAGGACCCCACCAACGGCTACTACAGCGTCAACACCTTCAAGGAGCACCACTCCACACCCACCATCTCACTGTCGGGCTGCCCTGCGGACCTGCGGCCGGCCGGCAAGCAGCGCGTGCCCACAGGCATGTCCTTCACCAACATCTACAGCACGCTGAGCGGGCAGAGCCGCCTCTACGACTACAGCCAGCGCTTCGTGCTGGGCATGGGCAGCAGCTCCATCGAGCTGTGCGAGCGTGAGTTCCAGCGCGGCTCCATGAGCGACAGCAGCTCCTTCCTCGACACGCAGTGCGACAGCAGCATCAGCAGCAGCGGCAAGCAGGACGGCTACGTGCAGTTTGACAAGGCCAGCAAAGCCTCCGCCTCCTCCTCCCACCATTCCCAGTCTTCGTCCCAAAATTCGGACCCCAGCCGGCCCCTGCAGAGGCGGATGCAGACACACGTTTGAACCGCAGGGGACGATGCGGTCCCCAAGGGGCTGCGGACCCCCAGGGACAGCGGTGCTGGAATCAGGACCCAGGAGTGGGGCGATGGGGCTGAGCACAACCCCGCTGAGGACACAGGGCTTGGGGACACCGCCATCCCCATGCCCACCCCACAGCTCCACTTGCCCCCACCCAGCCCCCTTCCTTCCTTCTTGGTGTTCGGTGTCCATAATTATAAAGTCTGTTTTGGGGGGTCCTGTCGTGTGGGGTTTGGGGTGGGGGGAACACGCCAGCAGGGACGGGAACCCCCCCGAGTGCCCCGGGAAGGGCCTCACCGCGCTGTATCGCGGGCAATACAAGAGGTGTTTCTCGTGGCATGCCTGGGCTGATGGCCTCGCCACCATGAAGACTGCAAGGGCAGCGTCCTTCAGGTGACCCCAGCAGGAGCTTGGTGGTGGGGAGGTGGGGTAGGTGGGCCCAGGGGATGCCCGATGGATGGGGAAACTGAGGCACGGGGATGGCCACCGCCAGGGCAATGCTGCTGGTGATGCAGGAGCCAGGACAACGTGCTGGGGAAACGGCAGGTAAGGACCCAGCAGGTAGGGAGGGGACAAGGGTGCTGGGACACAGAGCACAAGGGGACACCCACACACACAGGGACATGGAGGCAGGAACATGGAATGTGAGGACATGGTGACATGGTTATAGGGACAGTGCCTGGAGTCATAAGGTCCGAGCTCAGGGCAGAGGGACACACTTGGGGGGACACTAGGTTTGGGGACTTGGAGACATAGCATACTCCCAGGGACACACGGACATGTGCATGGGGACACAAACAGGGGGACAGGGCCCAGAGACACTTGAGGACAAGGAGACACAGTCACACAGCAGGGCACAGCGAGGTCTCAGTCACTCCCTCATCCCCTCTCCAGCCCCAGCATGGAACACCCAGTCCAGTCACACCAGGACCTTTATTGGGTGCCAGCAGGAGCCCCCCAACACCCCAAGGTCCATGGGTCCCAGGGCCCCCCTTCCCCAAATCCTGGGGGATGCAGGATCCCATGTGAGCAAGGCGCCGATGGTGGAACAAAAGGCACCTTTGGGGAGGGGGGAGCCTCCCCTGCACGAGGCCACAGAGGAGGGAGGCCCCATGATAAATAATCTTTTAAATTAATTAAATTAATCTGCACCGCTGTGTCACCCCCACACCCCCCCACGGGCCACCCAGGGGTGCTGCAGGGCTGAGCCCCCCACACCAGCACTAAGGCATGAGGCTGGGCCAACATGTAAAAAGAAAATTAAAAAGAGGAGGGGGGAAGAAGGGAGGAATTAAATATTTAGGGTGCCCAGCTGGGAGGGGGCTGCAACTCAGCCTCCCACCCACAGGGGACTCCCCCAGGACCCCCCATCAGCCCCTCCTCAGGCTCCTCATCCCGAATGCAAGAGTATCCAAGGGAAGAGGAGGGCTCCAATGCACCCTGCCGTGCCCCCCAGACCTGCTGGGGGGAGGTTCCCTCCATCCTCCCCAGAATCCCTCCCTAGTCCTCACTAGTTTCAGTGTTTCCATATGAAAAGTCCCCGTTGAGGGGCTCCCTGCGCCCCTGGGGCCGGCGAGCCGGCGTGGCCCCCACAGTGCCACCAGCATCGTGATGGGCACAGGGACACCGGCTGCTCCAGGACCTCGGCGGGCTCCGAGGTGGGGACGTGTCCCTGCGCAGCCCCATTGCACTCAGAAGTACGTGAGGTTCTTGACCAGTCCCAGCTCCAGCATGTGCTTGATGGCCACTGCCTCGTGTGAGATGTTGTGCTCCGAGGCCTGTGGGACAGCAGGAACGGGTGAAACCAGAGCCAGGGCGGGGGGCAGGCACAGTAGGGGGACACTCACAGCCATGGACTTGAGCGTGATCTGCTCGTAGTAGTGGATGGTTTGCTTCTTGTTGGCCGAGTCGGGGTACCCAAAGCCTGCAATGTGCACCAGGTCACAGAAGTGGAGAGCCAAGGTGATGGCCAACAGCCCTGTGGTTGGTTTCTGGGGAAAAGATGGAGAAGCCATGGGGAGAATCCCAAAACCCAAGCCTCCCACAGGGTGCAGGGACAGCAGCATCCTCCTGCTGCGTTGAAACCCATTAATAATCCCACAAATACACAACAGGTTTGGCACAGAGATGCTCAGCAGTTACAAAGCCACACCATTACCTGTTTGACCTTCCGTGGCTGCTTCATGGGGAGGCTGAGCAGTTTAGCAGCAGTTACTTCCATGTAGTAAGGGTTGAGGATGCGCACTTGCTCCGGGTTGGCATCCCAGATCAGTGGGGGCTGCTTCCAAAACCCTTTACGAACCTGGAAGAGAATGGAGACCTCCTGCTAAGAGATGAATCCCCCACAGCGCCGGGGGTGAAGGCACAGCCGCCAGGGACGGGGCTGACCCTGTGGTCACCGGTTCCCAATCACACTTGCCCTCTTCTTGTCATTGAGGATGGCCTCCATCCACTGGAAGTCCATGGGCTTGAAGGGCACCAGCACCAGCAGCGTGTCGGGGTTGTTCTCTGCCTGGGGGTCAAAGTGGGCTGACTCGGGGTAGAAGAGCCGCATGGTGGTCTTGGAGCCCACATCCTGCTCATAGCCGTGCACCGGCGCGTTGTTCAGCCTGGGACACGGGGACGTTGCTCAATGGGTGATGAGTGACACGCGACAGGAACCTGCCGATGGCGCTGGGCAAGGGTGGGCGGCCCACAGGGATGCCCAGGGCCGTACCTGATCACCACGTCGTAGGTGTTGATGGTGTCCCCCATGGAGCTGTTGCGGAGCCGGTGCCCATTGCCCACCACCACGCACCTCCGACACTTCAGGCTGTGGGGGAAAAGCAGCACCTGAGCCAGATGTGCTCAGAAATGATCACCTCTTCAACCTCAGAGGGGTTTCAGCCCTGCCTTCACTACACTGCAAAGCTCCCCATACGCCATCCCTACTCCCAGGTGGCCAAGCTGCCAGGTCTCTGGTGATGCCTGTGCACAACTTCACACTCAAATGTTACACCCCCAAGAGTAATTCCTGCTGCATTACCTCTGGATGCTCTCGGGCAGCGGGTAACTGGTGACCGACAGCAGGCGCAGGAGGACATCCTCTGCAAAGCAACAGCTTGGAAGTGACAGCATCCCCAGCAGCACATCAGTGCCCACCCCCCATGTGGCCTTAACCCCCACAGTCCACACCTGGGGACCTGTTAAATGTGCCCCCACTTTTGTAGGGACCACAAACAGGGAAGCAGGCTCCCATGCACGGACAGACAGACGCCCACCCCGTACTCAGGGAGGCAGTGGCTCACCGCTGCCTTTGGTGCCATAGGGCAGCTCGTAGAGCGACGGCGTCCTCACCCAGAAGTAATCCTTCAGCTGCAGGAAGAGCGGGCGGTCCCTCGTGTAGCTGCAAGGAGTGAAGGGGGGGTGAGGCTGAGGGATGGGGACCCGGCTGCGGTGCCGCAGGGACCCCCTCCCCTTACTCACTTCCCTATGAGCTGTGCTGCCTTCCTCTCCACCTCCCCAGTGGGACACACGGTCTTGTTTTCTTGCACGGGGAAATAAAAGCTGCAAGGGGAGAAATTAGAAGCGGTGCCCATTCCTTCCCCCGGGAAAGGCAGGAAGTCGTTTTTGCTGCTCGCCCTCATTGGCTGTGCAAACACAGCAGGAGCTGTGGGGTATCCAGCCCCTGCACTCTGCCAGGGCTGGGAGCAGCAGCACGCTGTGCCCTCACGCTGTGCCCTGCAGCCCCCCGGGACGCACATACCTGTCCTCCCGGTATATCGAGTACCACACCATCACCAGAAACAGCGCCAGCACTCCCAGTATCTTCCCTCCTGCGAGCCAAGAGAAGCACCTTAGCACAGGGAGGGGAAGCAGGGAATGGAGGTGCGGGAAAAGGGGCGCAGGGGAAGGAGAGCGCTCGTATCCACGCGCTGCTCCACATCCTTCCCTCCCGAAAGGATTTCCGTCCTTTCCTCACGCAGCAGCGGATCTCCCCAGCGCCCCTGAGCGAAGCGCTCCGCGTGGCCGCTGGGTGTCAGCATCGGAGAGCGGCTGCGCTCCCGAACATCCTCACCCGCATCCCGAGGAGCAGCGGCGCTCCGAGGACGCGGTGCCGCTCACGGAGGTTTCGGGGACATAGCAGGCAGTGGAAAAGACCGCCGCGACCTCAGTTCCAACCGCCATCCCCTCCCCGTGTCCCGCACCGCGTCCCTAACGGTGCCCAGGGTTACGGGACGGGGTGGAAGAGCAACGCGATGCCTGCGTGGTCTGTGCATAGAGAGGGGATGAAGGACCGATCCGACCCCCACAGCCCCATTCCAGCACCGAGACGGGATGCTATGGGGTGCTGAACCCCCGCTGGGTGGGTAGAGGAAGGAGAGAAGAGAAACCCCACTTCATGGGGAACAGCAAATGGGGGCACGATGCTTGCCAGCCCCCAGCTCTACCCCGGCCCCAATGCCGTAACCCCACCAGAGCGACCACCAAGCAGACCCCAGGGCCCCCACAGGAGAGGGGCTGGCAGTGCATGCAGTGAGGACTCACGGGACTTATTGATCATCTTTATCAGCAGGGCGGGCATCAGCCGAGGGCCGGGGCTCTCATCGCAGCCACTGCCGCTCACCTGGGGTGGGAGGGAAAGATGCATGGGTCAAGGAAACACCGAGGCCGGAAAAGACCCCTATGATCCCCCGCCCACCCCACCGTGCCCACGTCCCTCAGTGCCTCAACCCCAGTTCCTGAATGCCCCCAGCGTTGGTGACCCCCCTGCTGGCAGCTGTGCAGTGCAGCACCACCCTTCCCGAGAGGAAATTGTTCCTAATACCCAATGTAACCCACGGGTGCAATCCCCAAATCTAGCACGGGAAAAGCTTCCCCCAGGAGATCCCAGAGGAGGAGCAGGACCCATCTGCACCTCCAAATCAGAGGCAACACCAAGCCCTGCAGGTTTGTTCCAATTTAAACCCAAGTTTTCCTGACCTGCATTCAACAAAATGTCCCATTTCTACAGCCGGTTCCCCCCCCGAGATAATAAAAGCCATTAATGAGGGATCCCGAGGAGCTTCTGCCCTACGCATGGGAGCACACTGCAAACCACAGAGCGCTCCGACCGCTGACCCTGGTGCCAGCAGAACACATGGAGCTGAAGCACAGCCCGGCTCACGGCAGCGATCACCGCGGTGGGCTGAGCGCCTCTTCGGCTTTGCAGATGCAGAAGCATCTCGCATGGAAAAGCCAGCAGGGGGGGAGGACAGCAGGGGTTGCCGCTCAGTTCCTGGTTACTCATCCCTTTGCAATGCAAATGCCAGCGAGCGGTGGCACAGTGCATCCCCGTGGAGGTCTGCGGGGCTGGGGATCAACTCACCATGGGGAGATTTGGGGATCGCCCCCAGGAAAGCTCGCTGCCCTCGAGGATGGCTCCAGCTCTGTGCCACGTAGATGGGCACCTCCAGCCCGACTTTCCCACCCCAGAGCACAACCTGCCCTTGGCACATCTCCCAGCAGGGTGTGGAGCTGCTTGCGCTGTCGCATTCATCACCCAGGGCTGCACCGCAGCCACCGCCCGAGGGATGGCAAGTCCCCAGGGTGACGCTGTCAGCCCAGAGCAGCCACAGCATGAGGGGGCAGCCGGCATTTGCTGCAGGCTTTGGGATCTCTCCAGGGAACAGATGATGGAGGGGAGAAGCAGGATGGAGCACTGGAGCCTGGCTCTCACCTCCCTGATCAGCAGCAGGAGGTAAGAGACAAATTGAGACAGGATGCGGAGCACATAAGAACACCTGGACAGTGCTGATAAGGGATAGGAAAAGGTGCTGCTTGCTCCTTCCACAATCACCTGTCTGGGGCTGAGTCTTATCTCCTCCATAAAACACAGGTAGCAAACAAAGGGTAATGACCCCTGAAAGCTGATGTGGGCACCCAAAAAGGAAACACATTTACAGGAGGGATGGGAAACCCATGGATGCCCCATTGCTGTGCGCCCTGCAGGGCTGCTCCCTGGGAGCCCAGAGCCAACGCTGAGCAAAAATCCCTCCTGTTGGCTTCTGCCCCAGCACCAACTGTGCCAGCAGAGCCCTGCACAAGTGGTGCTCCCCTCCCCGAGGGCGAGATGCTCCAGCAGCACTAAGCGTGCTCTCAGCCCGCTGTTTGCTTTTACATTCCAGCTCTCTTTTTAAATACTTCTCTTTTTTCCCCTCCTCTTTGTGATCCTTCTCTCCAGGCTTGTAGGCACAAGCCGGCCTTTATGCAAAACCAACCCAAGGCAGAGGCAGACAGAGTGGTCTGGGGAGCAAAGCAGAGCACACCTGGCCCCACACAGAGGCCACGAAGGAGGGGTTTGGGAACGAACCCAGCCTGGCAGTGCCTGACCTACAGCAGCATCCCAAAGCAGCACGGCGTGCACAGACCCAGCTCACATGGAAGCTGGATGCTCGCTGCTCCCATAGCATCCCCAGGTGAGATTTGGGGTTTCTCCTCAAAGAGATGAGAAAAAGCCCCTTTCCTTTGATGTCTGCACAGCATTACCTCCACAACACCCCAGGGCAGAGCGTTATCACCACGCTTAGAAGCTGTGCCGACGCATCGCCCTCGCCGCGGGCTGAAACTTTGGCACAAAGCTTCTCACCCCAGTGCTGCACAGCAAACACCCAGCACGGATCAAACGGAACGCAGCAAAGGGCCAAAGGTCTGCAAGGAGCAGAACGCAGTGCCACAGCCCCGCTGCACACAAACCCCCACAGCTGCAAAGCAAAAGGTGCTCTGCTCCCCTGCACTCTACTCTGGGGACCCTGCCCCAGGGGTGCCCATCCTTTGGTGCCAGCAAAGGGGGGTCACAGAGCACACGGTATCTTTGTGTGCTTCCATTGTAACTTGGAAATTTGGGAACGGAAGGCTGATGCAGCAAGAAGACACCTCCCATGCTATCCACCCCAGCACCACTGGGAGCACCGCCATGGCTCACCCCACACACGTGCAGGAATGTGGGGCACTGCAGCAGAGGTGGATTTGAAGGGGATCACAGTGAGAAATGGGCACTTCAGCAAGCCCCACAGGCTCAGCAGAAGAACACAGTGGAGGTGGGCAGAGCACACGGGTGGCACAATCCTGGCACTCCCCAGCCCAGCGCTGCGCAACGGGCCACCCGCAGCCCTCCCCAGGGGCACTGAGAGCAGTGGGGTGGGGATGAAGGGCTCCAGAGCAGATACGAAATCAAACAGCTCTGCGGGATTTACGGCTTCAATTACCAGAGGAATCCATCAGATGTCAGCTGGTTGCCTTGGCTGAGCACACAGCAGCACGGTGCGCCCAGCCTCTCCAGCAGCACCCACACTGCCAAGGCCTCACCTCGCAGTGCTCCAGACAAGAGGCAGCGGTCCAAGAGCCGCCTCCAGCCCCACGTACCCCTCACTGCAGGCTGCTGGTGCAGGCTGGGTGGCATTGGCATTCCCACAGCAGCTCCTGCCTGGAGGAGATGCTCATTCCTCTGGGGATAAAGGATGCACACAGAACACGGTGTGGTTTGCCAAAAGGAGATGTGGGTTAGGCACGTATCCCAGCTCCAGGGTGGCTTCTGGCACGCTCAGATGGGAGCAGAGCCATCTCACCACCCAGGGGGTGGTACAGAGGTGATGGGGGGAGCACTGTGCTATGGGGGCAGTGGGGAAGAAACTGAAAAATGAATGCGGAACAGCTCCTCACCCTTCCCTGTCCCACCCATAGAGATTTTCCTGGGTTGGGACGGATAGGCATTTTTATGGGGTGGCTCAACATCATCATGAGCAGCTGCTGTAAAGAATTTTAAAGCAAACTTAATTGACCATGAAGAAGAAATACAGTGTTTCCTTGACTCACGGTATCAGGGCCCTGCGAAGAGCTGACAAAAGGTCTTCTATAGTAAAAAGAAGCTCTAATGTTAGAGGCAGGTAAAGCCTTAGCACAATATTTACCTATGACTAAGGAACAACGTGAGCTCTGCCACAGCTTACCCCTGGCCCATCTTGACACATCCCAGGTCATAAAAACGAGAATTTCCCTCTTGAAAGCGCTCCTAAAGGTGCCAAGACCTCTCCATAAGCAGCAGACAGCTCCCAGGAGGGGCTGCAGCACTCCAAAATCAGCCACCAAAGATCGCAGCCACCAACCCAGCACAGGGACAGGGCGCCCAGCAGGGCCAGCAGTGACACCCAGCCCGACCCCAGGGCTGACGCAGCACCGTGCTGCACACAGCATCCATCCCTGGGAGCCACCGGCCAGGGGCAGCCAGAGGTGGCAGAGCAGAGAAGTGCCACCTGTTCCTGGGGACCTGCAACCTGTGTCTGGGGTCAGGTAACCCCATTGGGACCCCACAGCAGCACGCACAGACCCCACCGCATCACCCCACGGGTGCCCCCAAAGGTACTTACGGTCCTTCCACGCGGTGTGAGCAGAGAGGGCAGCAGCTCCGGGGGCTGCTGGGCTATGGGGCCATCCTCTCTTCCCCTGGTGAAGGAAAAAGGGGAGCCTCAGTGTCAGGTTGGAGGATCTCGGGGCCCAGCACCGCTCCCCATGCACTCAGCGGCTCTCTGCCCCCTTTCCTTTCCCCAAACTTCCACGTCCTCCCCACAGTTTGGAGAATTAAAAATCCAGTTCCTCCCAAGAAAATGTCCACGCACAGCAGCACCCCTCCTGCCTGCTCTGTTCCAGAGAAACTGCCTTCCCCACAGCTGCGCTGCATCAGCCTTAATAACCCAGATAACGAGAAGCCAGGTGGGGTAAAGGTAAGGAGCCAACCCCAGGCGCAGCAGGGCTCCTTCGTTGGGGTCAGGTGTGCGCCAGCATCGCGTTCCCAAGTGCGGGCTGGATTTTGGGTGGCCCTGGAGTGGAATGGGGACTGGAAAGGGAACGGGAGCTGCATCAGCCCGTGTGGGTGCTGCTGGCAAAGGGGCAGGGAAGCTTTCCATCCCATCGGGGAAAAAGCCACGAGCACGGAGCTGGAAACCATCAGAACCGAAGCGCTGCATGGAATTGAGTTGGTTTTGGCAAAATGAAATTTTGGAGGGGAAAAAGGGGAAGAAAAAAAAAGAAAAAAAAAAAGAATTCCAGCAGTGACGAAACATCCCATCCAAACTGAACAAAAGGGCCTTTCTTCCCCACAGCCCATCCCACGTTCTCCCCACACTGACACAGCCAAGTGCTGCTCCCGGCCAGGAGGTGGCGGGGGGACCTCAGCTCACGGCTGGGAAGCACCCGCAGCACAGAGACCTGCAGAGCACCTTCTGTGCCCCCACACCGGAGCTTCTGTGTGCACGGGACTGAGCCTGAGCACTGCACCCAGAGCCCATCCACTGCTGAGAGGAGCACACGGTTCTCTGCACCCATCTCAGTGCACGTGGGGCCCCACGCCCTCCCCTGCTCCTTCCAGCCCCATTCACTGAAAAGCACGAATGCATTCAGCAGGCAGCAGAGATGACAGCCAGCTCTGCTACCTGCAGGAGCTCATCCCCATGAGTGCACCATCCCAGCACGTCTGCTCCAGGCATTGCATGATGCCCAAGGACGGACTGCAGGGCAGGCAGCTGGTGCTGGAGCACAGCCTTTGTACCTCCAGCTGTGAGCTTCGTTAAGAAGAACGAAGAGCTGCTGGAAAGCACTTCATGCAGTGCAGCACTGGGGGGGGACGCTCCATGCCCCGCAGCCCCCCACCCTGAGAGGATGCTGCAGGGTCCCAACAGCCCATCAGCACTCGCCAACCCCAGCAGCACGTTTTGCATTTCCCAGTATGAGTTTTGCCCCTTCCTACTGGTGCATGCTGCATCCCACCCCAGGCTGGTGGCTCCAAGCAGCCCCAGAACCTGTCCAACAGAGGCAAAGCGCAGCTTTCATTGCACCATCTGCACTTTTATCACATCATCTGCTCTTCCCTACGCCTCCAAGTTTCACAACATCTACAAACCCACTGTGCAGGAACCTGCCTGCCCCCACCGCCCACATTACCCCAAACCTCCCCAGCGCAGCACAGCCTTAAGGATCAAACCCAGCAATCTCCCTCGCACCCCTCAGCGATTCCACCACCAAACCCAAACCCTTCTGCCCTGGGCAGGCCGCCATCCCCACGCTGCACTGTGGGCTGGGGTTCCCTACCCGTCCCGCTGATGGCTGCGTTTCCCTCTGCTCATTTTCCACCCATCTTTAATTCATTGACCGCTCATTCCTCCCCGGCTCGATCAGGGCAGGCTGCTCCTGGAAGGCACTCTCCCTCCTCATGGCGAATCGAGTCGCTTTCTTTAGTAGAAAAAAGAAAAGAAAGCAAAATAACGATCATAGTCATAACCACAATAGAGCCAGCAGGGACACGCTGCAGCGCCAGCCCCCCAACATCCCTTGGTTTGGGCACAGCCCCCTCCCTCCTCACATCGGCCACCCCACCACGTCCATCTGTCCTCCCTCACCGCGCAATGAGCACAGAGGGATCTGGAGGAGTCCATCCCCGTGCAGATCCCCCAGCACCACAGCATCACATCATTCCGGTTGCTACCCCCCAAAAGGAGGGAGCACAGCCATGGGGTGGGGAGACACACAGATCTGCACTCAGTGCCCACTCAGCAGGAGAGCAGCGGGGCCACTTCCTGGCCACGGGATCCAAAAAGGCATCGCAGGAAGAGGAGCAGAAAATTGTTGCTGTAGGGTGCAGAGCTGCAACAGTGCAGCATCACCCGACTGCTGCACTGCCCCACATCAGCCCCACATCATCCCTGAGCCACACATGGCATCAGCACCAAATGCTGCTGTCATCAAATGAACCTTTCTGCTTCTTCAGGGAGGGAGCACTCCTAGTCCCACAAGCACGAAGGGCTGCGGCACCCAGCAAAAGGTGGACACCAAGGCAAGGTAAATAACAGCCCACCTCCCTGGGCCCAGGCAGGGCACGCATGCAGGAACCTGGTGCTGCGGGTCCCCAGCATTGCACACCCTACAACCACTGCTGAGCACCCAACCCAAAGGAAACGGGCAGAGAGACCCAGGAAGGGGCACCACACAAAGCAACAGCGAGCTGATCGCCAGCCAGGGGGATAAGCTCCTTACAATGGCCACAATTAAGGGTTGTTTGATTAGCAGCTTAACCACCTCTGCAGAACCCTTGGTTTGGAGAAGGCCAAGAGCAGCGTTTTCCCTCAGCAAAACCCCAGATGCACTTCAGCAGCGGGATGGGGAAATGAAGAGCTCCTCAGAGCACGTTTGGTCCCACAGCCCGGGGTGACCGGAGACGTTTTGCAGGAAGAGCAGCGGGAGCAGCATCTGGAAGTGATCGCAGCGAGCGCCTCTCCCAGCAGCGCGGCAGGGAATTCCAACGGCGTGAGCTCAGGTCCGGGGCTCCTCCAGGGAACCAGCAAGGAGCAAACGGAACAGAGCAGCGGGAAGCAGAGCTGCCCGTCCCACCCGGGCGCAGCTCTGGGGCGTGCTCTGCAGGAGCACGCACACACATCCAGCTCCCCTTCGCTTTCTCGGAGCAAACCTCCAATCCCACCCACAGCACACGCAGGGGTTGGCAGCTGGAAACAGCAAGGATGAGCAGGATCCGGCCCTTTATTTATGGCCTTTTTTTCCCCTCTCCCAGAAGATGTCGGGTTTCCTAGAAAAAAACCCAGGAACACAGCTTGCCCAGGGGCACCCGAGCGGAACGGGGAGTGAAGCAACCAGCACCATTTCCTCCTGTTGTCACACAGCCAGGGCTGCGTGGATCCAGTCCCACAACAACATGCAGGGGCACAACCCACACCATGGGGACGGCCAGGAGCCACAGCACTGAGCGCAGGAGGGCACAACGGGAAACCCAGCCAAGGCACTGAAGGCATCGCAGAGGCGTGCTTCCATCTGATGGATGGAGAAGCCACAAAGGCAAAACCCGAAGAAGGCACCGCCGTCATCCCGTCGCTGGGAGAGGGCTGAAATCTGCACTTCCATTCGATGCATGGATGCTGTGGGCACCGTCCCATCCCTGCTCCTCACACCTGTGAGTATTGCTGGCACAGACAGACACCCCGAGCCTGGCAGCCTTCCTCCTTCCTGCTGCCATCCCTCATCACCTGTATCCCTGTGGGACCCAGAGTGCTGCTATTAGCCCTTCACCCAGAGCTGGAAGAGCAAGCAGCCTTTAATGATGCAGATAATGAAGCACAGGCGTTAAGAAGAGTCCGGCTGCTCCCATCCTACGGCTGGTAGCAACGTCAGGAGCTCACTGCAGCTCGGACGTGCCCTTAAAGCATTGGAGCCGCCAACAGCAGAGCAGGGCTGGGACCTCCCCAGGTCCTGAGGCACTGAGATGCAGCACAAATCCAGCACGGTTCTCCAAATGCCGGGCGCTCAGCACCTCGTCTCACTGCCCGCAGACCTCGGCCACCGAACACTGCACCCACGCAGGAACAAAACCACCCCCCAGGGGAAGAATCCCTTTGTTCTCCGTTAAGAACAATGAGACCCCTCCAAACACCGCTGCCCAGCGAGCAGAAAACCCGCCGACGTTCTCCTTTGGGCTGAGCATCCTCGCGTCCCAGCGGGAAGGGCTGCAGGTCCCGCGCAGCGGGGAGGGCCCCATCCCCACCGCTCCCCCAGGGCGCCGCGTTGGGCTCCGCACGCACAGGATGCCGAGCGGTGGCAAAAGGCCCCGTCCCCAAACAACTCCCGCTGTGCTGCGCGGCCGCAACCGACAGCCAACGGGGCGGCAGCTCCGAGCTCCTTCCCAACGGGTACACCGGGAGCGCTCCGGGGCTGCGGCCGGCGTTGGGACCCCGAAGCCGCGCCCTACGAAAGCAGAACAGCGCAGCGCTGCCCGGCCGCGCGGTGCCGCCGTCCCTCCCAGCCGCGTGTCGATGTGCCCCGCGCTGGGGATCCTCACGGCAGCGCCCGGCACAACGCAACACTCCCGATGTGCGCTTTGCTTTGCGGGGCTGCTTTGCGGGCACGGCGATGCTCAGCGCCGCGCACACAGATTGCGTTCCGTCGCGCCCGGCCGCGCTCCCATTCACAACACAGATACATAGAAAGCAAAAGCATAGCATCGACACCCCGGCTCTGCCCCGCACCGCGGCCTCCGGCACCGCATCCCAAATTCCCCCGGCTCAAAAAGCAACTGGGAAAAGCTCAGCATTTCGCAGCACTCTGCCTTCACGCGACTGCGGACCCCCGCTCTCCCTCCCCCCCCCCCCACGCACTCACCATGGGGCGGCCGGGGGTGCGGGCTCGGAGCGGGCAGGGCCGGGCAGCGGGACTGAGCGGGGCGGAGGGGGGGACGGCGACGGGGCGGGCACGCCTGCGCACAGAGCGATGGGGCGGAGGGAGTGAAGAGGCGGGGGCACGGCGGGGGGGCCGCCGGGGGCGGGGATGCGGCCCGGACCCACCGTGCGATGATGGGGGGGGAGTCCCGTAGCTCCTCAAGGGCGGCGGTGGGAGGCTCGGGCAGCGCGGGGGGTCGCGGGGGCTCCAGAGGGGGAGAGCAGCCCCTGCCGGTCCGCGCTGCCGGCCGGACTCGTGGCCGCACTCCGCTGCCGGGGATCCATCCGCGCCGAGACCCCACGCGCGCTCACGCGGGGCCGATGGAGGCAGAGCAGCTGTCCGTAATTGCGCCTTAATTACTGTCGGCTCGCAGCTGATCCGGGGGTAATTACTGAGGCCGCGGCTCAGCGGGGGAGCTGGGCTTGCTCGAAGGATATTTAGATCCATCAGTCTCTTGGGTTCTCCCGCTAGATTTATTGCATCTGAAAACAATAAACGGCGTTCAATAAAACTCCAGCAGTAATAACGCGTCCCAAATGCCTGTTTTTACCACGCTCCCGAGGCGCAAGGAGCGGCGCGGCCGCATGGCTGCGCTCCCCAGGGCGGCTCTGAGCCGCCACGGTGCCACGAGGACGGCACGATGAAGGCACGGTGGATGGCTACAGCTGGCCCAGCGATGCGATGCAGCCGTTACGGTGCGATGCAGCCGTTACGGTGCGATGCAACACTTACGGCTCCCAAAGAAGCCGGGTCAGTGCAGTGTGTCACAGGAGGTGAAGAGGTGCCCCCATCCCCTGCCGTCGGTGAGGGTAGCGGCCAAAGGACGCACCGGAGAGGGGATGGAGGGGACAAAAGGGACAAAGGCTGTCAGCAGCACTGCACAGCGCCTCTCCCCAGATAGAAAACCTTTTCGGAAAGGGATTTGCTGTGTTAGCAGAGCACCACAACTGTTTGCCGGGTCGTTAGCCATTGCTAATGACTGCACCCTGCCCTGATATTTAACGTAGGAAGCACAGCAGGGATAAACAGCCAGTGAAGTTGGTCTGTGCGGAGCAAAAATAAAACAAAATCCTGCTGGAAAGGTGAAATTGCAATGAGGTCTGCATCGCCCAGCTCAGGGCTATCGGACCAGGGGGAATCCTAGCAATGAAAGCATTTAAGTGTAGGGGTGCAAGGTTGGGGGCAGCCACAGCAACACCCCCAGATCTGTTCCTCAGTTCCTAAGGCAGCTCTGATGCAAGCAGAGATGTGCTCTGCTCTGCACGGCCTGTGGGAAACGGGCAACAAGAAAACTCCCCTAACAGGTTACCCCTGCCCTCCTCAGCCACATGCTACATTTTTGCAAAAAATAACCAAATCTGACAAGAGTTGGCTGCATTCAGATGCTCTGCCTCTCCCTGCTGCTAAAAGGTACCAGGGAACGGCCTGACCTGAATTTTTATTCATCAGATGAGAACAAAGCCCCGGGCATCTCTTGTGATGTGACGTGCATCCAGCAGGCTCGGGATCGCTCCATTACAGAGCAGCCCTGGAAACAAGGAACTGCAGTTATTTATTTTTTTTTTTGCCCCCAGAGCAAAGGAGTCAGCAAAAAGAAAAGTGAAAAGGAAAGCCAGCAGAAAGCCGAAAGGAGCAGACAGCAGGATGGGCAGCAATATGATGCCTGCAATTACACCCCTGGTTACCGACTGACCAGAAACCAGAGCCCTCGCTGGCAGTGAGAACTCATGCAGTTTTCAGAGGTTTTGTCCCTCGGTGAGGAAGCAGAGTGTGGGCAGATTCCATGCGATTCCACGATTCCATGACCTCGTTCCCATGCCACCATTTCCAGGGCTCTGGAGAACACCATGGCATGGAGAACTGGCTGAAGGTGGATGGGCACAGGTCCTCCTGTCGCAGTCCCTCAGAGGAGCCCAGGCTGCTGCTGTGTCTGCTTAAAAAACCAACACACCACCAGGGTTACCCAATCAAGGTTTTAATTGACTTACGGAGCAGTTGCCATAGCAATGGGCTGACAGCCCCAATTTCGTACAAAACCCGAGTATAAAAAAACCAAAAAGCGACAAAACTCTAAAAACAAAAATCACAGGATAAAAAGACAAAAAAGCAGCTCCACGTTTGGCTCTGCCAGCTCACGCTCTTCCTGCCTCCTGGAATTTCTTGAGCAGGGGTTCGTCAGCCCGCAGGGCGAAGGTCAGCGCCCGCTTCTGGTAGAACTCAGCATCCAGCAGCAGGTTGTCGATGACATCCTCCAGCAGATGGGCTCTCTCAGCAGAGCTGCCCGGAGCATCGTAGCCCAGGGCGGTGAAATGCACGTGCAGGTGGTAGTAGGAGGGCTGGTAGTGCAGGTAGATGCGGAGCTGGGATCCGGGCACACCAAAGCGTTTTGCTATGGCTTCCTACAGACACACACGGGTCAGTGAGGGGGGGAAGAGCCGGGGGGTGGAAAAAGAGCCCCCAGGTGTGGGGAGAAAGGCGGAGCCAGCGGCCAAAGCCTGTGGTCATCAGGAATGTGCCTGCAGGACCTAAACCAGAGAAGGTTCAGGCATCAAAAACGTGGAGGGAAGCTGCTGAATGAACACCTGGCAAGAGGAGAGCTCTGCTCGCACCGCTGCCCACAGCCAGGGGAGCGCTGAGCCCATAGGAAGGGAGAGGCAAAGCGAGATGAGCGCTGCTTCCTCCCTCCTTACAGAAAGGGACGGGGAAACAGAGAAAGGCAGAAGCCCTTCCTGCCAGCCCCGCTTCTCCGTAACAGGACGTGCTCCCTGCTCCCATTGTTTTCCATTCCTCCCTTATCTCCCCGGCTCACTCAGCAAGTTACAGGATCCCGTTACCAGCCAGTGTAATTAAAGCTATAAACAGCAACGGCAAACTCCAACACAAGGGCTCGGTTTGCTGCTCAGCACACTGCAGTCCCCTGACTAATCTCTTAATTAATCTCTGCTTTCCCTAGTGCAATTACTTTCCAAATTTCCAATGCAGTGAAGGGAACTATCACACATTGATCTACACGGCCCATTACCAAGCGTGCCCTGGAACAGCCACCAGCCAGAGAAAATGGCCGGGAGGTTACAAAGGCAGCTGCTAGCACACACAGGAGGATGAGCTCGACTCTGAGCTCACTGCAGACAAAGCTGTACCAGACACTTCTGAAAGGGGAGAGAGGTGAGGAGCTTGCTGGCCGCAGTAAAAAGTCCCAGTTCCAAGGCAGGCAGCGCTCAGATTTCATTCCCAGCCTGGCTGCCAAGAGGAAGAGGGTGTTTTCTTCTTAAAGAAGAGCAAGGCTTTGCTCCAGAGGGATGGGTGGACTCCCAGACACATCCACACCTCTCCAGCCCATTCCAAAAAGATGCTCCCTTCTCCTAGAACGCACTGCAGTGACACGAGATGGAACAGCGTGAGGCCAAAGGCAGCAGCAGAAATATATGTCTGTTCTCAAGCCGTGGAGGAGAGCTTCAGCCCCAGCATGAGTGCTCAGCACCACCACGGTGATGTGCAAATGGATGCCTGGTGGCTGCAGGAGGAAAGAAAGGCCACCAAGGCCTCCAGCATTGATGCAGTGTGGCCAGGCTGCGCAGGGCAGCACTGGGAGGGGTTTCCCAGCTGACAGACCCTTGTAAGGCAAGCACAGAGCACATCGCCTGCTGGGCAGGCTCTGCTGCAGTCTCAGGAAGGGAAACGGGCAGGGGAGGCATTCACACCTCCCCCCACCATCTCCCATGAGAGGGTCTAAACTGAGGAGGAGAGGAAATCAGCAAATGCTTCCCATGGCCCTGTGGAGACTTGCTGCTTTGCTGGGCACCAAGCCCTGCTCAGCGCCTGGAGCAGTTCAGGACACTTGCGACGTATCTGGCCTCAAGAGCATACAAGTTGAAGCACAAAGAGGATTTAAAGTGCCCTCTTTTCATCACCCTGCTCCATTTCCCCCTCTCAGCTCTTCCCAGGGCCTGGTGCTGCACTGTGATGCATCCCCACATCGCACAGTCACACAACACAGCACAGCAGCGCTGCAAGAGCAAGGCAACATCCTCCACAGGCAGCTCATACCACAGGGTGCAATGCAAGGAGGAAAGTCACCTCCACCTATTAAGCAATGCCCCTGGTTGCAATAGGGCTTGTATTGCAGGGGAACGATGGGGAAGAGCTCAGGAGGGAGAAGTGATCATCGCTCAGCTTTGGTGTCCACACAGAGAGCGGCTCTTTGCCAAACCAGGCAGCCACAGCAGGTGCCAGGAGCCGAGGCAGGGAGTTGCAGCAGCTCGCTGTGCCTTCCTGCACTCACCTTGCCCTCCTGCAGGATGTTCCTCAGCAAAGGGAGGTGCTCTGCTGTGAGGTCCCGGAGAGACTTCACACCACGGCGGTGAATGAGGGCTATGAGGTAGAGGTCCTCGAGCTGTGGAGAGGCAGAAACAGAGGAGAACGATGCCTACAGCAGAAAGCAGGTGGAGGCTCAAGCACGGTGCAGAGCTTTCTGGGCTGTGCTGTAATGTGCACACACACTTATCTGCTGACTTCTTTCACCAACCTCCAGGCTAGGTGGATCCTAGCTCCAAACCCCAGTAACGTCTCCTCAAACACTTCAGAAGCACCTGTCCAAGTGCACAGCACTCTAAACCTTCCTCACAGGGCAGCAGAGGTGCAGCACTTGCCTAGGCAGCAGGGAACTGAACTGCAGTGCTGAGCTCAGCCTTTCTGCAGAGCAGGAGGGTGGCTTATCTCCGCACTCAGCAGAGGATTTGCAGTGAATTCCAGCAGCCAAAGCTGCGACTGTAGATTTTTCCGAATGAAAAGCTTCCCCTATTGCCTCTGTACAAACAGTGGTCCGTTTTCCAGTGACTCCAGTTTTATAAATAACTATTTTCAAGTGTTCATCTGTCCCCTGACAGCCCCACAGTGACATACGGCCGCCCCGCAGCGCTCAGACCAACCTTTGCCATCTCCGGAAGCAATTTACTGAATTAAATGTTCAGTGAAACAAAAGGTCGTGGATCATTATATATTAAAAAAAAAATAAATCAGTCAAATGGTTTTGTGGCATTGCTGCCCAGGAGATAATAAACACAGAGATGAAGTCTCCTGTACAGGGATCAGACTGAACACGGAGGCAGCCAGGACAAGACAGGCTCCCACACCACGATTAACACTGATGTTCTTCAGCAACATCTGCAGCTGAGAGTCTCTCACACCCAAGCCTACCTGTGCTCCCTGCACTGTGTGCTGGCAAGCAGCTGCTCGAGGCTATTTCCTCAACTGCCTGCGTTTCCAAAACCAAATGTCCTGCAAAGTCCAGCCCCTTTCCGCAGCACTTCATCCCTGTCTCCTTCAGTTTAGTTAGTGGCTTTCTAACAATATAAACACTGTGTAGCAAAGGGTTTGCCCAGCAGATCTCTTCAGAGTTATAAGCAATCCATCTGGCTATTTGAAAACAGATGTTTGTGCCAAAAGATGCTTGAACAGCTCTGCCCTGGGACTCGAAATACAAAGCTTCATTTGCATCCAGCCAGCAAAGCCGTTCTCGTGCTGTGACCCGGCTCTCACAGCAGCACAGCTCCAGAGGAAGATGGCCTCTCAGTTTGTCCTCTTCAAACCAGAGCTGGCTCACAGGGGAAAAGCAAACATCCCCTCTCCTTAGAACATCTGTACGTTGCTGTTTGAAACAAATACGCCTGTTGCTAAAAAGGCCCTCAATGATGTCATGCACGGCACCATTTCAGGCAACGCCTCGGGGCTCCTGTGGGCTTGAGAAAAGCTGGAGGGATCCAAAGGGGGCTGTCAGCACCACGTCTAACCAGGACTCGCTTGCTCTGCACCGCCGAGCTGCCACACTGCTGCTGCAGCACTTTCAGGTACCCACTTCCCAGCACGAAGCACGGTCGCTCCTGGCCAGCCGCCCAGCAGCAGGCAGAGGCAGCGAGCAGCAGCACACAGGCAGGGAATCCTCCTCCATCCATCAGCCTGAAGCAACGACAGGTGAATCCACATTTAGCAAACTGCTACGCTAGCACAGCGCGATGCTGTTGGACAGAACTCCAAACCTGAGCTGCAGGGAGGTTTGCACAGCGCTGCTGGGAGCCCTGCCTCACCACCCTCATTTAATTCAGCAGCCCACGGATACTTGGATGAGCTGAAATGGGAACGGCCAGCGGCTCTGAAGTGCAGCTGCAGGGATGAGATCTGATCTGACAGATCCCATGTTTCATCTAATACTTTAGGTCTTGAGACACGCTGGATTCAAACCTGTTCAGTTTCTCTCTGAATACCATTCATTTATGGCTATGTCTCACTTAAAAGACACTACTGAGCGCACATCCAGCTGCCCAAGAGCAGGAAAACCAGCTCTAACCTTCCTGATGACGGAAGCCACTCACACACCCTGCTCAACACAACACCCTTGCTGGGAAGAGACAGGCAGCACAAGGGGTATGGATCCTGGCAGCCAGAAGCGCAGAGAAATCAAGTCCAAGCCCTTCTCTCAGGGTAAGGAATCATGCAAATAAGGCAGGAGTCCAGATCTCTGCTTTTTAAAACTCAGAGAGCACCCAGCTGTCAACAGCTATCAGTGGGGATGAAGCAGCTGCATGGAGCACGCCGAAGCCCCCAGCTCAGCACTCCCACAGTGCCTGCAGGGACTGAGAGCAGCTCCTGCCCTGGGGACGTGGCTGTGCTGCTGCAGAGGCAGTGAGAGCACCCAGAGCGTGCAGCCCTGGGGAAAAAATCAAGAAGATCCTGTTTGGATCACAAGCAAACCACAGCAGCATGGGAAACCTCCCCTACAGACACATCCTGCCATGCAGGTGCTCCCTAACTGCACTGCGCACAGCAGGTCTGTAGAGAAATCTGGCTACAGCTTCAAGCTCATCTGTCTTCAACACTGCAGTGAGCTGCACAGCTTGGTTCTGGAGAGAAAGCATTTACACCGAGGCTTTGCTCAGAGAAAAGAGCACATTGCTGAGAATTAACTTCCCAGGATCACTGCATTGCTGCCACCTTCTTGCAGGGTGCTGGGCAACAGAAATTAAAGCTCAGTTACCCCACGGCAACAAGGCATGAGATTTTTAGGACAGCTGACGTGCAGGGAATTCCAGGTTTGCATGGGCTGCCCTGCAGTTACTTACCTGTCCTCACCTCCCATAGCCCCAGGCAATTCAGCACCAGATGGAAGTCGGCTCTCCTGCCTCCCTCCTGCCCCCAGCCCACGCTCAGCACGGAGATACAGAATCATGCTGTGCTAAGAGCTTAGAAGGGTTATTTTTAGTTCCCATTTCCACGTTTTCATCAAACTTTCCCTCAGTGCCACCCACAGAGAGGTTCTGAGGATCAGAAACACGAAGGGGACTTTTTGACTCCACGAGGCTTGGAGCCCTGCTTCTTTGAGCCTGGGGCATTTCATCTCTGCAGGCACGCCGCGGGCCTTGATGTCTCCAGGCCATAGAAGTGCCACATGAATGGAGCCAGAGTCAAAAGAAATAATGAGCCACTCAATTTAGGATTACAGCCCAGGCTAAAACCTCTGAATCTCAACAAGTGGCCACTCCAGCGAGGGGTTAAGCAGCTGCTCATAAGCTAACAGCCATCTGTTTAATATTGTGTGAGGAGAGTTAATTGGAAGGACGACACATCTGCCTGATTTATGCCTAATATTTAGGCTGACAGAAACCCAAACAAAGGAATCCATCAGGAACAACAGGCAGCTGGATTTCGGTTCCAACACAACTCCAACAAAGACAGCGCTCGGGCTAACACAGGAAAGAGAAAGTGAAGCTAATAAATAAATCACTGAGCAGCAGTGAGGACAGCCTGCGTTTTGCAGTGTCCACCATTAGCACATCCTAAAAGGCCCTGAGTCACTGGTAACATCATTGCTTAATTAGTGTGAACAGGAAGGATGCATTCCTCTACTAGAGGTTTCATTAACGTGCTATTAGTGACACCAAAGTGGACATTTCCTCTGTAATGCCTCTCAACAAGCAGCATCCCTTCAAAACCAAGAGTAGCAAACAAACCTGGTTTTGATTCCACTTAAAATCTGGAACTAGAACAAAGCCATTGCAAGGGTCTGGGTTTTCATGGATGATTCGATCAGCCTCAGCTTTCTTCTCCAGGATATTATACACCCACTGAAAGAGAAACATGTGATTTAGAAACCAGCAGAGCAAAAAGCTCAGGCACATTTAGCCCAGGCTCATGGATTAGTCTGTATGCATTGCAAGCAGAACGTGAAAAAAAAAAAAAAAAAGACGACCAAATAATTTCATGGCCAACAACATTTGCAGTTAATTACCCATAGCACACTCCAACAAACTCCAGGCTATTACAGGCACTTCAGTTAAAAGATACCCTCTGACCCCGCTGCACGGCGCGGCCCCACTGCCTCGCTGAATTATTCAGGGATTTTTGTTGTCCTCTCGAGCATTAAGAATCAGCCACAGCTGGAGATGAGGCATTGGACAGAGATGGTTTAGAAACTGCTGTATTTGCTTGTAAGAGGATTTGGAGATAATTCTGCCCAATGGGGTCTTGCAATTCTCCATCACGCCCACAGAGCTCACGATGCTCCCAGCCAGCAGCCAGAGCCCCGGGGCCGGCAGAGGCTGAGCTCAGCTCCCGCGGGGCCTGGCGCTGCCTCCATACACCTTTCACACCCCACGCTGTCCTGAAACCTTTACAACGAGCTGTGGAGAGGAAACCCGGCTGGTTTTTCCATTGGGAAGGGAAGCAGCAGATTGCTGCAAGGCTGAGGCTGGACGGGGCTCCTGCTGCTGGCAGCCAGCACTCTGTGGGCCAGGACGAGAGGCCTGTGTTTTCTTGGGCAAGTCACGTTTCCTGACTGGTTAGAAAAGAGCTCACCTCTCTTCTTCCTCTATATTTAAAGCTTCGGCCTCCAACAGCCAGCAATCCTTGCTCTGGTTATCCCCTGCATTCCTCGCTGGGCTGCTGGGAGGGAGAGCAGGAGGACGTGGGAGCTCAGACTCTGCAGAGGAAGAGCTCCTGAGAGCAAAGCACCGCGCAGAGACAAGTCTCCACTCTCCAACAGGGATAACTGACGAGACATGACAGAGAAAGCACCTTCACGCCTGGAAGACTGCCTGTCCTGGTTACAAGCTGCCCACCTGCCCTCTTGCCAAACACAAAGGTCCTCTTTCACAGAGGGAGCTGCAAGTTGGCTTCTAAATGCTAGCAGTTCTTGGAGTTTCAGACTTCCAGCATTAATCAGGTCTCTAGAGAAAAAAAGCAAGGCAGCAGAAATTGGCTGGGCTTCGAAAGCTGCAATCATTTTGAAACGCCAGTGGCCCTTCCACTGCAGAAAGCCTTCCCTGAAACAACCAGGCTGTAGAAGTGCCACAGTTGTTTCAGCTTTACGGATACGGCAAACAACTGAACTGCACACAGTGCTGATCACCACCACGCTCACCTTCCCATGGAGCTTAGGTACAACACACTGCTGCTGTCCCAGGGGGAGTGGAAGCACCAAGCCACTGCCGGCCCTGCAGACACACTGAGCAAGCTGGCTCAGTGGCTGCTGTGTGCAACAGATGCTCGAGATGAAAGACAGCCCTGCTGGGAACTCTGTCAGGAGTTTAATTAATCTAATCAAAACTCAGGATCGTAGTGAACTGACCTGAATATATCTCCTTAGGGACAAACAAACCTCCCCAGCCTCGATCCTTTTCTTTCTTAAGTTCCCACTCTTTCCTCCCTAGCGATAACATCCCAGAGAGATTCTCAGAGATTATGGAACACATGGCACAAGACTGCTGTGCTCCGTGACCCTGTGAGAAAGGCAGGGCAGGAAGCTCAGAAGGAAATGAAAGTTTGCCACTCACTTTTTCACGCCGCCTCTTTTGAGCAGTGCCAACCTGTGGGTACCCCAATAAGCTCACATACAGGATGAGCAGAGCCATAAACTGCTGCTGCCCCATGATGACCAGCAGTCATCAGCTGGCTGCTCCTGCTCTTTCCAGCACAAGCCTGGGGAAGACAACACGTCCACAAGCTGGCACTACAATAAAACCATTATGCTGAAAGCAGCCAGAATTTGCATCCTCCAGGCAGAAAACAGAGCCTCCTCTGTAGTCCTCCAATACTTCTGCCTTTCACATTTCCTCTTCCTTTTGACAAAACCAATTAGATAAAGACAAGAAACTGCATTATCAAATCTCAGAGGACCGATGCTCAGACCAAGATCGCCAAGCACAGATAAGGCAGCTGCTCCCAAGGTTGGCAGGAACATGCTTCCATCTACCTACTTCATGCAGAAATCAGCTCACAAGCATTCGGTGGAACAGGTAGAGAGACCTCGTACTGCTGAGGGCAGCTGCTGTGTCACAGAACTTAGCCTGCAGAGCAAAGACACGGAGAAAACATTTGTGCAGGCTGCTATCAGGTGAAATACACTCTTTTGTTTCTCCAGCTAATAAGTGCTTCCAATAAATTAGGGGTGTTGCAGTCCAACTGCTGGCAAGAAAACTGAATGATGGAGGGAACAAATGTGGGTGAGCAAGGAGTAACGGAGCGCACTGCAGCTTGCAAGGTGCCTCCTGGAACTCCATGCACAAAGCAAGATTCACATCAGCTGCAAGTGATCAGAGCACAACAGCAAACCCATAGCCAGTCTGCTGCAGTTTAAATCAGTAAGAGAAAGATGTGAGGAGGGGACACATGAGGTCTGTGGTTGTCTGTCTTTCATTTGAGACAAAGGAGCTTATTTTTAATGAATAGCCTCGACAGACCCTCACCTGCAGTCAGCTGGAAAGGGCGCACACTTCGCTCATCAGCAAGGTGCAGAAGCAGCATCACCAGGGAGAGGATGCAGGAGCTATTGCCTGGCTCTAAGAGCCACTTGGTTTGCTTGATGGTTTCCTTTTCACAGCAGTGGCTGCACAGATTAGATACATAAGCAATGAGTTGCTTTTAATGCACCAAAAGAGCAGTAATCAATTACTTGAGTAAGCTTGACATTGCTAGGATTCGTTTTATTCCCTCATCTGCACAGGTTGGCATGAATTGCCCCTACAGACTTTTGTTCCTTCAGCCTATAAAGATGTGGAAGAGAGGAGCAGTCAAAAAAGGGAAAACAAGAAACGAGTGCATTGCCGCTGCCGGTGGTGAGAGGCAGCCCAAAAATTCAGCTCCTACGCGTGGGATATGAACTGGAAGACTGGAAGGCAGAGCAGTTGTATGCAAAGCACTAGGAGTGAGTTGTGATGCAAGGAATCCAAGCACAGTCTAGGTCTTCCCATTTCAAAGCACTCAAGAGACTCCCACAAGGCCCAGCAAAGTGCACCAATTCCACCCTCAGAGAGAAGAAGTGTCCCGACACAGCAGGTCTCCAGGAGCCTTGAGAAGGGCACACTGGATAAATCTCCAAAGGAAGAGCTTTTCTATAATGATGTAGCAGTGCTACCGAAGAAGAGAAGGAGAGCTCTACTGGGAGAGCCTGGGGAAAGAGCCCTGCTTAGCACTGCTGTGCTTACCAAAAAGGTCAGACAGCCTCGAGAAAGTGCAGCAGTTAAGTGGGTGTTCTCAGGGAAACAGTCAGCATCACAGATCCCAAACTTCACAGCTCTGCTGCCGGTCACGTCTGAGAAACAGGCGTGTTAGAAGAGAGGGTGAAACACCACAGAGCTGACAACACACAGATGGAGCAGCCAGCAGGGAGACGGGGCAGAGCTCTGCTGATTCATCTGCCTGCAGTCCAGGCTTCGAGGAGACATCTGACAGCCCAGCAGGTTAAAGAGGGAGGCCAAACACAGGCAGAGCTCTGCTTCCATCCCCAGAGCTCCTGCAAACATCAAGATCTGCAGAGACTGTTGACTTCAAGGCACTGTCAGTTCTCGTTTGGCCAAAGGAATGGGAGACCAGCATGCCAGGAAGGCGACACACAAGGCCCAGAACAGCTCCTGGAGGTGCAGCCTCTGGCAGCTGTGCAGTACCAAAACCAAAACGGAGACTACTGCAAAACAAGAATCCAGTTGAGAACCCCGCTCTCAATTCTCATCATGCAAATCCACTCTGGTACCACTGCAAACAGAACTCGCCGTGTTTGTCGCAGCGAGGGTCACCACAGCAGGGCCTGAAGCACCTCCTCCTGCAGGCTCTCCACCCCTGCAGAGGGACGCGCAGCCCCAGACCCTCTGAGAAGCAGCAGTGCCCATACCTGGATGCTGAAGCTCTGGGACTGGATGAAGGGCAGTGTTATGTTCTTGTAGTCCTCCCAGGTTTCACGGACCAGGTGCACTTCCTGACGGAGGTACTTCTGAAGGTGTTTCTCTGTGGCAGGGTACACCACTGTGGCTTTTATCTCTAGGAAAAACAAAAAAAAAAAACAAACAAAAAAAAACATATTTACTGAATTATAATCACAGATGAAACCCGAGTTACTTCCTTTAGTTCCTCATAAACCTGTTTTTGCCCTCTAATAAATGCCACGCTAACACATTTCAAAAATATACCATTAAAATAGCAGGGGAGAGCTGACACAGATGGCAAACAAGCACTTGAACCGGCAGGGCTCCTTCTGTCATCACGGAAAGGAGCTCAGTGCATCTGCACAGAGGAACACAATAAGCTGACAGCACAGCCAGGGCCAGTATTTCCAGTTCAGGTGGAAGGGAACGCTGGGAGAAACTTTTCCCACACTCACTTCTCAGATATATCAGCAACATCAGTGCACATCTGGGGCTCCCAGGGAAAAGTTTATGTGCAGTCAAGTAGGACAGAAGCAGCACATGGCAGCACTACCCGGGGCTGAGAAGCACGTTCCTCATTCTTTCCACCTGAGGGTAATCAGATGCTATCAAGAAACTCTCTCCATCCACCAAAGCAGACATCCCATGGGCTGCACGCAGCAGGCCTGCACAAGGAGCTGTCCCTGCAGAAAGCCACAATCCCAGACGTTTTGTTCCTCCATTTGCTTGCAGCTTCAGTGCAGCTGCCCAAACCCCAGCAGCAAGGAAGGCAGCCGCAGCCGCTCCCTGACTGCAAACAGCCCATCTGAAGCAGCTCAGCTCCCCTTCCAGCTCCAAGATGACGCAGCCTACTTCTGAGCAGTTGAGGAGCCAAAACTCCACTTGACACGGCTCCTGAGCACACCCAAGTTGTGTCTGAGGGCACACCCTGCTACCTGCTCCCAGAGAACAGGATTAGGACAGGAGCAGAGCAAAAAGCTTTTAAAGGAGGACAGGCACCTCACCAACCCCTCGTGAGCTCAAGCAGCTAAGCTGCTGCAAAGGCATCGGGACAGCTGGTGTCCACAGAAGTGACAGTAGATGGGTACGGGAAGAAAAGCAGAAGAAATGGGCACTCCTGCCATGATGGGCAATTCCATTCTGACCCCATCCTGCTCCGTCACACCCCACTGGGGCTGTGAGCCCAAAAGCTCTCTGCATTTACAATGCAGCTCCTCTGAAAGCCTCTTTCAGCACAGCGCCTGAGGCAGCTCTGTGCAGCCCCTGATACCCAGGCCATCCTTCTGCCCTGCAGGAAAGGCTCTCTGCTGGCCCACACCCTGCACCAGGCACAGCACACAGGAACAAAACCTCCTTGTGCACATGGCCTTTAACTCACAGATTCTCCTCCCAAAAGAGGAGACAAGGGGCACGTGGACGATCCATGGCAGGCAGCGCTGCTCCCAAAGCTCCCAGCCATGAGGATGCTCAGCCCTGAGGACAGGAGGCCAAGGACAGAGGGACACATCTGGAAGGCGCCGCGGCTGCTGGGATGAGCGCAGGGCTGATTCAGTGCTCCCCTTCACCAGCTGGCAAGCGGAGAGCATTCAGCTGGTTACTTTCACTAAAGGAAAACAACCCCTGTTTACTTTGAGATTAGAACTTGGAGGTGCATTTTCCATGACATTGAACAGGATTCCAGCATGCACCTCACTGACCTGGCAGCTCTGGCCTTGGCAGCAGTAAATCTCACTCGCAGCACTTGGGAAATATCCCTCCTTGCCCGAGGGTGGATGTGCGACAGCTGCAGGAACCAACGGCCTGCTGGTGGAACACTGAACAACTGAAGGCAGAACACCCCGTCCTGACCCCAAACAAAGCCATCAGACCCACACATGGGGCAGAAGTCCTGCAGCTTTCCCAGCTTGTGCCCAAGCTCTGCAATGGCTTTTGCTGCTGCCACAAAAAGCAGCAGCACCGAGCAGCTGTGCCTCACACTTCACAGATGAATATATGCTAGCCAGACGTGGAATATAAATATCTATTTGTTCTTAAAGCCAGGACTCGGGGTGGGTGTCTTTTTTTTGTTTTTTGGTTTCTGTTCTTTTTAAGGTCAGCGCTGCACAAGCTGGGAGACTCTGTCTTTTCATTCCATGCCAAACCCAGCTTAATGAAATCCACAGGAAAATGCTGGTAACATGAAATATGAAAATGCAAACCACAAGGGCAGTCTGGTCCGATTCCCACTGTACACATGTTCAAACAAGGTTGTTTTCCAGGGCTCGATTAGCACTTTGAGCAGGGTGATGTAATACCCAAAGACGAGGCTGCAGCTCTTCCACTCCTTGCTTTAAAAAGACCAAAAAAAAGCACTGGAGAAAAGCAGGAGATAAAAGGCCGAGCCCTCGCACTCAGGGCGCAACGGCGAGCAGCCCCACTGCAGACACAGCACGACTGCACACACTGCTGAACCTTTCCATTTGCTGGCAGCCAACCGCACTCATGTCTCCTTCTGAAAGCTGCCCTGCGCCCAGCAGGCTCCACGTGTGCTAAAGCACCACGGCTGGTGCACGACGGGAGCAATCCGTGCTGGCCTGGAAACGGGGCGAAGCATGGCTGTGCACATCGGGTGGTTTTCAGGTTGGTAAATGGTTGGCACTTATCGCTGCCTGCATCTGGGTCGTGTTGGCCAGCCTGTTCCGGGATGGCTGTGGTTTAACTCCAGGAGTCAGCACTCTTAGCTGGAGGCAGCTAAAAAAATACCAAAAACTGAGGTCTAAATGGAAGGATCCTGGATAGACGTGTGCCAGAGGTACTTGGATTCCTGGGCATCACCCTACAAAGGGAGCGGGTGTGTCTGAGGGAAAGCTCCATGACTTCAGTTCCACGTCCACAGGGAAATGAAGCTCAGACTGCCTAGAACCAAACAGTTCCTCTCCTCCTCTGATGAGAGTGCAAAAAAACCCACTCACTTCTTCACCCCCCTCAAGAATTCGGAGGCAGCACCACAAGGGCCATGGCCATGTGTTTGTTACCTGTTTTAAATCAATGTAAGCTGCTGAGGAGCTGAGAGA